CGCCGCCGTCGCTCGGCGCCGCCTGCGCGGCGCTGGACCGCGGCCGCGGCGCCGACGGCGTCGTCGCGGGGCGCGGCCTCGCCGTCTTCGTCGACGGCCCGGCCCACTTCGCGCGGAACGACGAGCGCGCGCGGCTCGGCCCGTCGGTGTTGCGGAACGCGCTCCTGGAGGCGCGGGGGCTCGCGGTCGTGTCCATCCGCGAAGCGGACTGGGAGGCGTCCGACGACCAGGTGGCGCTGCTCAAGGCGAGGATGGAGGAGGCGGCCGTGGAGTAATTTTGCGGATGTTTGAGGCGCGGCCCTGCTTGTCGTCGCGAGGCCTCGGGGCAGATCCTCGGGGCAAGCCCTGGTTGAGGCCGGCCTTGACGCGCAGTCGTGGCTTCTGCGATGCCAGCACTGCCGAAGCGCCCCTCACCAGCACTGAAGCACCGCTCACCAGCAATGCAGAAGCGCCGCGCGCCGGCAATCATGGCCGCCGTGGCATCGGTGGCCGCCGTCGTCGCGTACTGCGTCATGCCTCCGCGCGCATTCCCGGACCGGCTGGCGTTCATACCCGAAGAGATGACCATCATCGACAACAAGTTCTACGACCTGCCGAAGTGGGCGGCACAATGGCACACGCCCGATGCCGCCCTCAACACGCTGGGCCACATGAATTCGGCGCGCGTGCCGTACTTCGACGACGCCTGGCGCCGCGAGCTCGGCGGCACGAACGGCAGCTTCCTCGACGTCGGCTGCGGCGGCGGCCTGCTGACGAACGCGCTCGCGGCGCGGGGCTACAAGTTGACCGCCGTGGACCCGTCGACGAACTCGCTCGTCGCCGCGCGGCAGCAGGCGGCCGAGGAGCTCCCGACGGCGCGGCGGCCGGAGTTCCTCGAGGGCACGTGCTACGCGCTCCCCGCGGCCGACGGCGCGCTGGACGGCGTCGTCATGTCCGACGTGCTCGAGCACTTCCACGACCTGCGGGCGGCCGTCGGCGAGGTCTACCGCGTGCTCCGCCCTGGCGGCGTCTTCGTCTTCGACACGATCAACCGCTCGTACTTCTCGTGGTTCGTGCTCATCGTCCTCCTCGAGAAGATCGCGGGCGGGATCCCCGCGGGCACGCACGACTGGCGCCTCTTCATCACGCCCGACGAGGTCGAGCAACTGCTCAACAGCACGGGCTTCGAGGTCGGGCCCCGGACGGACCTCGTCGGCATGCGCCCGGAGGACCCGTCGGACACGTCCAAGGGCTTCGTCCAGGACCCGTCCGACGTCTCGGCGACGTACCTCTGGTGGGCGCGCAAGCCCCTGTAGGGCGCGTTCGGCGTCTCAATCCTCGTTTGTTGTAACAATGCTCGCACCCTGAGACCGCCGGACAGCTCGCGAGGGGGCCCTGCACAACGGTGCGTGCCGCGGTCCCCGGCCACGTCCCCGGCCCGTGCCCGGGCCGTGCCCGGGGCCCCGTGCCGGGCCCGTGCCGGGCCTCCCCGGCCCGTGCCCGGCCCGTGCCCGGGGCCCGTGCCGAGTGCCGGGCCCGTGCCGGGCCGCGTGGCCCGTGCCCGGCCCGTGCCCGGGGGCCCGTGCCGAGTGCCGTGCCGCGTGCCGGGCCCGTGCCGGGCCGCGTGCCCGGAGCGCATTTACCGTGCCGGAACCCCCGTGCCCGCCGTCCCCGGCCCCCGTCCCGGGGCCGGACCGTCGTGCAGGGGCCCGTCTCGCGGAGGGGTCCGAGATCGCCGATTGCCATCATGATTGCATGGCAGGAGCTCACTGGAGCTCGGTCCAAGACGGCGGGTCGCGATGCTCCCGCAGGACACGCTCGCGCTCGTGGCGTCCTGGGTGAAGCGTAATGACTTGCTCGCTCTGCGCGCGGCGTCCGAGGCGAGCCGCGATGCCGTGCGAGAGGCGGTGGTGGGTCATGCGGACATCGCGCTCGAGCGCAACAATCGAGCTAGATTCTTCATCCATCACACCGTCGACGGCGGCCCCCGACCTTTAGATCCGCGGAAGGTTGAGGCGCTTGGGCGCGTCTTCGGTGGAGGGTGCAAAGCGGTGAGGATCATCCCGGGGTCGGACGATTTGATGGCGGCGTATCGCTCGTTCATCGCGAACGCGCAGAGCGGGCTGGGCTATCAATCGTTCATCTCGAGCTCTCACCGTGGCCTGGCCGAGATGTACGTGGAAGATGTCATTCCTTTGCATCAATTGGCCGAGCTCTGTTCATTGGCACCGAGGCTGAGAGAGTTCAAAATGTATGTGGGCGGTCATGAGTTTACGGAGCCCGAGCTTGTCGACTTCGCGGCGCAGGTGGGTCGAGCCTGTCCGTTGATCGAGAGATTTTGGATTCCACACCCAGACCACTCCGCGGCTGAGCTGTTTAGCATGCTTTTCCCGAAATCTGAAGCTATTCAATTTGGTGCAGCTCGGACACACTGGTACACGCCTACGAGGTTCGACAAGATCGAAGAATCTATCGCGCGCTGCGAAACCCGAGACTGCAATTTCCAAGACACGGCCGTGGAGCCAGAGCTCATCGAGTGCCTCCTGCGAACGTCACTCAGCGACCGTCTGGAAGAGCTCAGCTTTGAGGACACCGACATTGAGGAGTCTACGATTCTTCAGGCAGCCCGTGGCTTTTGCAATTTGCGTTCTCTGGGACTACCGGGCGAGGATACCGGCCAACCCGCCGCTTCACTCGCGTTTCACAAGTCGCTTGCCAATCTACGACCGGAGCTGATTGAACTTAGTTTTGGAAGAGGCAGCCCCGCAGGCCTTGACGTCATGAGCATTGTCTTCGCGCGATATCGCCTGAAGCGCGTCTTCCTCGACGAAATGCCAAATGTGACGCCAGCACTTGTGGATATCATACTGGCTAGCCCGTGTTCTGAGACGCTTGAGGAGATCAGCCTCGTTTTTCTGTATTTACCTCGCGCTGCGGATGTTTTGCGCCTCGTTCGTGGTTGTCCGAATCTTGTCGGTTTAGAGTGGAAAACTCATTCAGTTTTTGATGGCATCGTCCACATAGCCAGCATCCGGCAGATCATTAAACACACCAGAGGCGGATGGCTCGATGTGAGTTGACTCTGACCGGCCACCACGGCGGCCTTGAGGAAGCTGGCCTAGACTTAAGACATGGTGCGCGCGACATACGTTGCCTGTCACTTAGATTCCTTCTGTGTGATTACCCCGCGCGCCGCCGCCTCCTACCAGCCCGGGCCGAAGTCCGTCGGGTCCGAGCCGTCCTTGGGCACGGTCATGTAGCGGCCCGTCGTCTCGAGCGTGAGCCCGTCCATGGCCTTGACGAGGCCCGCGCAGGACAGCTCCACGGGCACGCCGCCCATCTTCTTGAGCATGTCCATGCCGGGCCCGAACTCCGTGACGACGAAGCCCGGCGCGATCGCGAGGACGGCGATGTCCTTCTTCTTCAGATCCACAGACATGCCCTTGGCGACCATGTTCGCCGCGGCCTTGGACGACCGGTACGCGTAGAGGCCCCCGGACGTGTTGTCGGCGATGGAGCCCATGCCCGTGCTGACGACGACGACCTTGGAGCCCGCGGACAGGTTCGGCGCGAGCGCCTGATAGCACCGGAGCGGGCCCACGGCGTTGAGCTGGAAGGCCGCGGCCATGCGCTCGCCGCTGCAGACATCAAGCCCCTGGTCCGGGAAGACGTCGCCGCCCTTGAGCGCGGACGTGCCGTTGATGCCGCCCGCGTTGCACACGAGCACGTCGACGGAGACGCCCGCGAGCGCGGCCGCGAGCTTCGCCTTGCAGTCGTCGACCATGACGTCGATGCCCTCGACGATGGTGACGTCGCCGGTCACGGCGCTGATGAGGTCCACGCCCGTCGCCGACGACTCCTTCTTGCGGCACGTCGCGAAGACCTTGTCGCCGCGCGCGGCGAGCTGCTTGCAGAGCTCGAGGCCGATGCCCGTGGAGCAGCCCGTGATCACGTAGGTCGGCATGGTGCTATGTGTGGCGACGTCGGGATGCTCTGTGAGGCGACCGTGGATGTTGCGCGCGCCGCAGGAACGCTGAAGACGCCGAGGAATGCGACGGCTATGAGAGCTGCACAGAGAGTCGAGGCAACATGGCGTCAACATTGGTGCAACATACATCTTCCTAGCCTCTTCGCCCACCCATGCGTCGCTCCCGAGGCTTATGTAGCTGGCCTAGAGAGCCCGGAGACATGCCGCCGGCCGGCCGCGGCGCGGCGCTGTCGGGTCCCGGTCATCGCGTCGCGCGCGACGAGCCGGGACCGTCATCGAGCGCGCGCTAACCGCGGCGGCGCGGCGGCGTCTCTTTTTCGGAGGACCGCCTAGGCGTCGACGGCCTCCTGGATGGCGTCGATGACCTTCTGCGTCGACTCGCCGCTCTGGCACTTGTCGTGGCCCATCGTCGTCTTCGAGTGGACGAGCTTGCCGGCGACGGTGACTTCGAAGTTGCCCGTCGTGCCCGGGTCGCCGACCTGCGTCACCGTCACCTGGCCCGTGAATTCCTTCTCGATCGTCTCCGCGAGGGCGACCGAGAACCTGCGGCGGCGCGGCGACCATCGTCTTCTGTGCGCCGAAAACCTCGGCGGCGCGCGCGACGCAGCGCGCGCATGAATGTGGCGCCGCGCGCTACTTCTTGTAGCCTCAGCCACCACAGTATTGAATATTTACAGCTACCGACATGATGGCTAGCGCGCGTGAACAAGCGGCGACTGCGCAGACCGCTCAGGCTGGAGGCAAAGCACCTTCCTCAGGTTGACGGAAACACCCTTCGTGCCCTCGGAGGCGACAACCAGGGCCGCGCCTCAAACATCCGCAAAATTACTCCACGGCCGCCTCCTCCATCCTCGCCTTGAGCAGCGCCACCTGGTCGTCGGACGCCTCCCAGTCCGCTTCGCGGATGGACACGACCGCGAGCCCCCGCGCCTCCAGGAGCGCGTTCCGCAACACCGACGGGCCGAGCCGCGCGCGCTCGTCGTTCCGCGCGAAGTGCGCCGGGCCGTCGACGAAGACGGCGAGGCCGCGCCCCGCGACGACGCCGTCGGCGCCGCGGCCGCGGCCCAGCGCCGCGCAGGCGGCGCCGAGCGACGGCGGCGCGGGTTCCGCGGCGTCGAAGTCGCCGAGCAGCGAGGGCACGAGCCGCGACATCTTGCCGCGCGCGGCCTCCGCGGCGCCGTAGGCGCGGACGAGGGGGACGTCGGCCGGCGCGACGTCGGGGATGCCGTTCGCCGCGTCGACGAGCTCCGTCGGCGCCTCGAGGCCGAGGACCGCGCACGCCCAGAGCGCCCGGGCGACGCGGCCCGCGGGGAGCGCCGGCGCGGCGAGCTTCGCGAGGAGGAACTCGAGCGCGCGCGCCTTCGGCCGCAGGCCCAGCGTCGCGTAGGCGTGGAGCGCGTCGGCGGCCTCGCTGTGGACGAAGCAGCACTCCGGGACGCGGGCCTCGAGCTCTTCGGCCGCGCGCCGCGACGGCAGCAGCGCGAGCGCCGCGTAGCTCCGAAGTAGAGAAGACACGCAGAGGGCGTTGCATCGGTGCGCCTCGCGGACGATGGCGCTGTCGGCGCAGGCGACCGCCCCCCGGCCCGGCGGCGCGCCGCAGCGCGCCCAGCCCCGCATGAGGCTCGCGAGGCCCCCGCCCGTCAGACCCTCGAAGACGCGCGGCAGCGCGCGCTCCAGCGCGTGGAAGGCGTCGTCGACGTCGCCGTCCGTGGCCCGCGCACCGGGGAAGCAGTCGCCCAAAGCCTGGACCGTGTTCGTCAGGCCCTGGCTCGTCATGCGCGGCGCCTCCGCGGCCGCGGCCGCGAGGAGCGCGGCGCGCGCCCTCCGCGGCGCCGCGCCCGGCGCCGCGAAGCCGTGGAGCGCGTTCGCGACCTGCTGCGGCGTCATGCGTTTCGCCTCGCGCCGCGCCGCGGCGTCGAGCGCGTCGAAGGCGTCGGCGCCGACGCCCCGCAGGTCCGCGAACGCGTATAAGGTGTTCGCGACGGCCTGCGGTCCCATCTTCGGCGCCTCGCGTTTCACGGCGTCGGAGAGGACGCGCAGGGCCCGGGTCGGCACGCCGCCCTCCAAAGCCTTGAAGGCCCAGGCGACGTTCGCGACGGCCTGGCCGTTGAGGAACGCGTCCGTGCGGACGACGCCGTCGGAGAGCGCGCGGACGGGCACGTCCGCCAGGAGCACGCAGGAGCTCTTCACGAGGCAGGCGTAGCCGTGGAGCGTCGACGCGACGTGGCGCGCCTCGAACCGGGGCGCGCAGGCCTCGACGCTCGCCTTGATGTCGCGCCACCGCGCGTCGGACCGCCGCGGGCCCCGGCCCGCGCGGCCGCGCTTCGCGAGCTGGGACACGACGGTGGCGACGTTCACGGGCGTGAGCGCCTCGCCGGCGACGATGTCCAAAATCTCCTGCGTCGTGCCGGCGACGATGCGCTTGTTCCGCGCGACGGCAACAGACGACGCGCAGCCCTGGCCGGACGGCGGCGGCGGCCGCGGCGGCGGGCTCCGCGACCGGCTGCTGCTGCCGCTGCTGTCGCGGCTCCGGCTCCGGCTCGCGCTCCGGCGGCGCGGGGGCGGGGAGCGGCGCCGCGGCGGGCTGCGGCGCCGCGGGCTCCGGCCGCGCGGCGGGCTGCGGCGCGGCGGCGGGCCGCGCGGCGGGCTGCGGCGCTGGAAGTCGCCGCGCTGGTAGTCGCGGCGCGGCGGGCTGCGGTGGAAGTCGCGGCGCGGCGGGCTGCGGCTCCGCCGATGATAGTCCCGCGGCGGCGGGTGGTAGCGCGGCGCCGGGTAAAATCGATGCTCCATCTCGTTGATGGCGGGGCAGCTTCGGCCTGGCCGGCAGCATCGTGTTTGAGCAAGCCGTCCGGCGCCGAGAAACGAGTATGGGGCTGCCCATGCCACTGCGACTCGTCGTCGCCGCCGCGGCGCTCCAGCTCGCGACGGCCACGACGCTGAGCGTGTCGCCGACGCAGCTCTACGCCGAGGAGTGGGACGCCACGGCGTCCATCACCTACGAGGTCTCCGTCGCCGCCCAGCCGAGCAGCGACGTCGTCGTCACGATCACGTCGTCGAACGCGTCCCTGGCGACGGCGGACGCGGAGACGCTGACCTTCACGAGCGCCGACTACGCGGCGAAGACCGTCACGGTCACCGTCGCCGACGACAATAAAGCCGGCGCGTCCGAGCACGCCGTGGAATTCTCGCACGACTGTACAGGCTGCGACGCGGCGACGGTGACCCTGACCATCTTCGACGACGACTACTGCGCGCGGGACTGCGACGCCGGCGCCTACTCGTCGACGTGCAACGGCACGCGCCGCTGCCTCGACTGCCCGCGGGGCGCGACGTGCGCCGGCGGCTGCGACGCGCCCGAGCTCTGCGCGCCGGGCACCTACAAGGCCGTCATGGGCGCGACGAACGGCGACGGCTGCGACGCCTGCCCGGCGGGCCACTACGCAGCAGAATACGGCGCGGTGGGGCGACCGGCGTCCCGTGTTTCTACGCCTTCGAAACGCGTCCGGAGAAGACCGCGGTCACTCTCTTTCATCGTAGGCGTCGTGCGAGCCCTGCCCCGCGGGCTACGCCTGCGGCTCCGGCGCGTCCGTCGTCGCCTGCGCCGCGGGCACCTACAGCCTCGAGCTCGCCATGGACTGCGGCGACTGCCCGGCGGGCAAAGTCGCGGAGTTCGAGGCGATGGGCGCCTGTTCGGGCTGCCCCAAGGGCCACGCGTGCCCGTCGGGCGGCTACGCCGTGCCCTGCGCGTCGGGCACCTACTCCCTCGGCAACCTCACGAACTGCACGGCGTGCCCCGCCGGGTACAGCTGCCCGAGCTCCGGCGCGGCGCCCGCGCTCTGCGGCGACGGCGCGTTCTCGCTGTCGAACTGGCAGTACTGCGTCTCCTGCCCGCTGGGCCACAGCTGCACGAACGTCGCCGTCGCGCCCGCGCCCTGCGAGCCGGGGACGGCGGCGCCGGGCAACGCGACGCACTGCGCGGCGTGCCCCACGGGGCGCTACACCGGGAACGTCACGGGCGCGCCGCGCTGCGACGAGTGCCCCGGCGGCTTCTCCTGCGACGACCCGGCGGAGGACCCCGCGCTCTGCGCCAACGGCACGAGCGCCTCGGCCGGCTCGATACGCTGTGACGCGCCCGGCGTCTTTATTTCCAGGAGCTCCTCGGAGAGGCCCGCGGACCGCTCGAGGTCGAGGGGCGCCGCGGCGCGCGCGCGCGACTCGACGGGACCTTCCGCGCGCAGGTTCGGACTGCGCGCCCGGCGAGTACAGCGCCGCGGGCGCGACGGAGTGCGCGCCGTGCCCCGCGGGCCACGCCTGCGCGGAGCCCGGCGCCGCGCCCGCGCCGTGCGCGAACGGCACCTTCGCCGAGGGCAACGCGACCGCGTGCGCGCCGTGCGCCCAGGGCCTGACGACGAGCAAGGACGGCTCCTTCTGCGACGACTGCCCCGCCGGCTTCTCCTGCGGTGACCCTTGCGGCGTCTCTTGAAACCGGTCCGTGTGTTCCTACTCGTCCGCGCGCGTTCGACGACCTTTGCGGCGTCGTGTCGGAGAGCTTTCGACGCGCCGGTCTGCCTGTCGGGAGACGCCGCCGCGGCTTTAGGCGACGCGAGCGTCGGCCCCCAGCGCTGCGCCGAGGGCTTCTTCAGCGCCAAGGGCGTGAGCCTCGCCTGCGAGCTCTGCCCGCCGGGCCACAGCTGCGAGGACCCGGCGGCGCTCGAGTCGTGCGCGCCGGGCACGTACGCGCCCTACGGCGGGACGAACTGCTCCGCGTGCCCCGCGGGCTTCAAATGCCTCGACCCGGCGGACCCGCCCGTCGCCTGCGACGCGGGCACCTACGCCTTCCGCGGCCGGGCGACGTGCACGTCCTGCGCGCGGGGCTACGTCTGCCGCGACGGCCTGCCGCCCGTGCTCTGCGAACCGGGCTGGCGGCCGACGGCGAACCAGACGTCCTGCGCGCCCTGCCCGCCCGGTGAGCGTTTTACAGCTGCGGCGGAACCCTCACATCCCTCTTTTGTAGGCTTCGAGTGCCCCCTCGGCGAGCCGTCGATGATCCCGACGCGGTGCCCCGTCGGCACGTACGCGCCCGGCAACAACACGCGGTGCCTCCGGTGCCCCGCGGGCTACCACTGCGGCGACCCGGCGGCGTCGCCGGCGCCCTGCGGCTACGCGACCTACTCGCCGGGCGGCTGGCAGAATTGCAGCTACTGCGCCGAGGGCCGCCTGCCGTCGTTCGACCGCTCCGAGTGCGTCGACTGCGCGCCGGGGTTTCAATGCCCCTTCTATGACCAGGAGGTCCAGCTCCCGTGCACGCTGGGCACCTACAGCGAGGGCGGCCAGGCCTACTGCACGAGCTGCCCGGCGGGCTACGCGTGCGCCGACCGCGCGGCGCCGCCGACGGACGCGGAGCTGTGCGCGGAGGGCTATTTCTCCGAGGGCGGCCGCGACGCGTGCGTCGCCTGCCCCAACGGCGTCGCCTGCGCGGGAACGGACACGGCGGCGACAAATCCCTGCGACGCGGGCACCTACTCGCCCCTCGGCGAGATGGACTGCTTGAAGTGTCCTCGAGGTTCCTATTGTCCGTCGCCGACGTCCGGCGAGTACCCGTGCGATTTGGGCACGTACTCGCTGACGAATGCCACGAACTGCACGGTCTGCCCGCCGGGCTTCGCCTGCCCCGACGCGGCGACGGTCGTCGTCTGCACGGAGGGGTTCTACAGCCCCGGCGGCCTGACGCAGTGCCTCGACTGCAACCCCGGCTACCGCTGCCCAAACGCGTCGTCGACGCCTTCGCCGCCGGGCTCCGAGTGCGCGGCGGGCACGTGGTGCAACCCGCCGTCCGTCGTCGAGTACTGCCCGCCGGGGACGCTGGGCAACACGACGGCGGGCCGGTCCGCGGACCACGCCTGCGCGCCGTGCCCGCCGGGCTACTACTGCGACGGAATGATCGTCGACGTCGTCGACCCGATCGCCGTCGAGGCCTACGGGGGCACGGTCTTCGCGACGGCCAAGCTCTGCGACCGGGGCGGCTACTGCCCCGAGAGCTCGGCCGAGCCCACCCTCTGCGACGCCGGTGCGCGGCCCCGCTCCCACGAACCGCTCGCACGAACCTTTTTCTTCGCAGGTACGTACCAGCCGGACTTCGGCGCGGCGTCGGCCGCGGACTGCCTGCCCTGCCCGCCGGGCTACTACTGCCCGACGAACTCGTCGACGTACGTCGACACGCCCTGCCCCACGGGCCACTTCTGCCCCGTCGGGTCCGCGACTTGGTGGGGCACGCCCTGCGCGGCGGGGTCCTTTGGCAACCGAACGGGGTGGAAGTCAAATCTTCAACTCGACTTCAATGTGCGCGTATTCGAAAGGTTCGACACAAGCACTTCCGCTGTGCTTCGAGAACTCGACGAGAGCAATCGATTCGTCCAAAAATCAGCCGAATCGACTTCGAATTGACCGAGCTAGAGAATTTTCAAAGTTTGGTCGGGACGTCCCGAACCAGTGGTCGATTCGCACACAGGCAACCGCACGGGGCTCCACCGCCAGTCGCAGTGCTACAACTGCACGGCGGGCGCCTACTGCGAGCAGGGCGTCGCGGAGCCCGTCGCGTGCCCCGCCGGCGAGCTCAGCCCGCGTCTCTCGGGTCCTGCAAACTTGCTCCAAACCCCTGCCACAGGCACGTACAACCCGCTCGAACGCGCGACGGACGTCAACAACTGCCGCGAGTGCCTCGCGGGCTGGGCCTGCGAAAACATGGGCATGTACCGCATGCTCGACGCCATGCGCTGCGCCGCGGGCTACGTCTGCCCGCCGGGCACGGCGAGCGTGACCCAGTGGCCCTGCGACGCGGGCACGTTCTCCGACTCGCGGAACCTGACGCACGAGCGCGAGTGCGACGAGTGCTTGGCGGGCTACGTCTGCGACAGCGCGACGACGTCGAACACGATCGCGGACTGCAGCGCGGGCTACTACTGCCCGCCGGGGACGTCGAGCACGACCATGGCCAACGAGTACGCGTGCGTCGCGGGCACGTACTCCGCGGCGACGAATTTGGGCGCGGCCGACGAGTGCGACGCCTGCAACGCGTCGTACTACTGCAGCGGCGGCGGGTCGACGGTGACGGCCACGTGCACGGCGGGCCACTACTGCCCCGAGGGCACGGGCACGCCCGTCGAGTGCCCCGCGGGCACCTACTCTCCGAACGCGGGCAACGACGACGAGGGCGACTGCGCCGACTGCCCCCGGGGGTCCGCGCGCCGGCGTCCGACTGCCTTTGAGGAGGATGAGCTTTCCCCCTTTCCAGGTCCTACTGCGAGGCGGGGTCGACGGCGCCCGAGGCCTGCCCCGCGGGCTCGTTCGCGGCGTTCGCGAACACAAAGGCCGAGGGCCCCGAGAGCTACCCCGAGGAGGGCGAGGCCTGCGCGCTGTGCCCCGCCGGGAGCGCGTGCGCCGCGGGCGCCCAGGAGCCCGAGCCCTGCGGCGTCGGGAACCACAGCGCCGCCGGCGCGTCGTCGTGCTCGCCGTGTTACGCGGGCCACTTTTGCGGATCGAACGAGACGGCGACCGCGGACATGCTCACGCTCGGCGGCGACTGGGCCGCCGCCGACGACGCCGCGGGCATGTGCTTCAACGGTACGTGTCCTCCGGCAGCACTATATGTGGTCCATCCTCTCTCCCGTAGGCACGTACTGCCCCGAGGGCATGGCGCGCGCGCCGGACCTCTACCGCGACGCGTGCCCGGCGGGCTACTACTGCCCGACGGCGACGGCGAAGCCCCAGCCCTGCCCCGCGGGGACCTTCAATCGCAACACGGGCATGGACGCCCGCGAGGACTGCGTCATCACGCCCCAGGGCTACTACTCGATCTCCGCGACGTCGAACTTTACCGACTACAAATGCGCGCCGGGCCACTGGTGCCCGACGGGCTCGACGGGGCCGTACCAGGTGCCCTGCCCGGAGCGCTTCTACAACCCGGACTACGGCGGCGGCGCCATCACGGCCTGCGGCCTCTGCAAGTCGGGCGGGCGCGGTCCGCCGTCGGCCGGCCGCGCGTTCTTCTTTCTGAAAAGTCCCCCCAGGTACTGCATGCACGGCTCCGCGGAGCACACGACGTGTCCCCAGGGCTACTACTGCTCGACGGGCGTCTACAAGCCCGAGCCCTGCCGCCCCGGCACCTACGGCGCGCCGCCGGCGTCCCGGGGGGGGTGTTTTCGGGGACCGAGACGCGCCGGCAGGCAACCGCACGGGCCTCCGGCGCAACGAGGACTGCACGCCCTGCACGCCGGGCATGTACTGCGACGGCTACGGCCTCACGAAGCCCCGGGGCCTCTGCGACCCGGGATACTACTGCCTCGAGAAGAGCTTCACGAGCGCGCCGCACGCGCCTGTGTGGAATTCAAATCTTCAACCCGACTTCAATGTGAGCATACGCGACAATTTCGACGCAAGCTCTTCGGCTGTGCTTCGAGAACTCGACGAGAGCAATCGATTCGTCCAAAAGTCAGCCGAATCGACATCGATTTGATCGAGCTAGAGAGTTCTGAAGTTTGGTCAGGACCAGCCAAACCAGTGGTTGAATTCCACACAGGCACGCGCCGGGGAGCACGCTCGACATGCTCGACGAGCCGTCGGTCATCGGCGGCCTCTGCCCCGCCGGGGGCTACTGCCCGGCGGGCAGCTTCGAGCCGACGAACTGCCCCAGCGGCACCTACAACAACTACACGGGCGCCACGTCGAAGGACGACTGCGCGGACTGCCCGCCCGGTTACTACTGCGCGGGCTCGAACAACCCCTACCCGACGGGCAAGTGCGCCGCGGGCTACTATTGCAATAGTAGCTCGACGACGCCCTACCAATACGAGGTCCCGCCGGGCTACTTCTCCATCGAGGGCGCGTCGCAGCCCGCACCGTGCACGCCGGGCACGTACCAGACGTACCCGGGCGAGGCTTCCTGCCTCGAGTGCCCCGCGGGACAATATTGCGACGCCTTCGGCGCGACGGGCTACACCCTGTGCCCCCTCGGGAGCTATTGCATCGCCGGCACGTCCTACCCGGAGAAGTGCCCCGCGGGTACCTACGGCAAGCGGAAGGGCCTGAACTCGACGCTCTACTGCACCAAGTGCGAGAGCGGCTTCTATTGCGACGACGTCGGTGCGACGGAGGCGACGCAAAAGGCCTGCGCGGCGGGCTTCTGGCGCGCGGCTGCGTCCTCGATTTTTGCGTCCTTCTCGAGCCGGCGCGTCGTCCCAGGTGCGGCGAGGGCTCGTACCGGAAGCGGCCCATCAACCAGTACAACGCCGAGGGCGAGCTGAACGGCGACTTGTGCCCCAAGGGCCACTACTGCCCCCAGGGCGGCCAGAACAACCCCATCGCCTGCCCCGTGGGGACCTTCTACCCGGGCCTTGGGAACGATGCAAATTCGACAGACTACGACTGCGAGCCATGCTCTCCAGGTGCGCGTCTCCGCGCCTCCGCGCCGCGACGAACCACCCGCAGGCTTCGCGTGCAACACGACGGGCATCGTGACGCCCAAGCTGCCGTGCGACCCGGGCTTCTTCTGCCGCTACGCGGCGGAGACACACCGGCCGGATTTCGGCGGCTCGCACGGCGCGTGTTCCGAAACGAACACGAAGAAGTGCGACTACGGGCCCTGCCCGACGGGCTACCAGTGCCCCGGGGGCACGGGCGAGCCCGAGCCCTGCCTGCCGGGCTTCTACAGCAACCGCACGGGCATGACCGCGTGCGCGCCCTGCGAGCCGGGCGAGCGCCCGGCGTCGGCGGCGAGCGTTCGTCTCGCGCGACGCCCTCGCCTCCGTGTTCACGAGCCCCGCAGGTCGCTGGTGCGACGGCAAGCGCACGGACGAGCTCCTGCCGTGCCCGCGCGGCAGCTACTGCCCCAACGCGACGGGCATCTCGCAGCCGTCGTGCCTCAAGGGCACGTACGGCCACCGCGAGAATCTCACGCAGGCGACGGACTGCGCGAGCTGCGCCGGGTCCTTCTGCTCCAAGAAGGGGCTCACGCAGCCCGACGGCGAGTGCTTCGAGGGCTTCTACTGTCCACCGTCGACGGCGTCCCCGGTATGTTTGTTTACGAGAGAACCCCGTCGTTCGCGTAGGTCCCGCGGGGAGCTTCACGGGCAGGGGCGAGACGGGCGACGGCGAGCACCCCTGCCCCGCGGGCCACTACTGCCCCGCGGGCCTGAGCGCGCCCCTCGCCTGCGCCAACGGCACCTTCAGCCCGTCGGTCGGCGCCGTCAACGCGTCGACGTGCCGCAACTGCACGAAGGGCCACTGGTGCGGCGCCGAGGGCCTCGGCGCGCCGAGCGGCGCGTGCGCCGCGGGCTACTACTGCGGCCGCGGCGTCGCGACGGCGACGCCCGCGGCGAAGGTCTGCCCCGCGGGCTCCTTCTGCGCCAACGGCAGCGTCGTGCCGACGGCGTGCGAGCCCGGGTCCTACGCGCCGACGAAGGGCCTCGGCGCGTGCCTCGGCTGCCCCGCGGGGTCCTACTGCCTCCGCGGCGCGTCGGCGACGGCGCCCTGCCCCCGGGGCTACTTTTGCCCCAACGCCACGGCGTCGGCGACGGCGCACCCGTGCCCGCCGGGCACGTTCGCGGACGCGACGGGCGCGCGGAGCGTCGACGGCTGTCGGAACGCGACGCGGGGCACCTTCGCGCTCGGCTTCGGCAACCCGCGGAGCGACGGCGAGTGCGACGAGGGCTACTGGTGCTTCAACGCGTCGACGACGGCGACGCCCTACCTCGCCGTCCACGGCGGGAGCTGCGGCCCCGGCTTCGCGTGCTCCCGCGGGTCGTCGTCGAAGGTCGACTGCCCCGGGGGCCGCTACTGCCGCGACGGCACGGGCGAGACGGGCGACTGCGCCGGCGGCCACTACTGCGCGCGCAACTCGCACACGCCGACGCCCGACGCCGTCTACCACCTCGGCGCGCTCGTCGCCGACGTCTGCCCCCGAGGGGCCTACTGTCCGCGCGCGTCGGCGGCGCCCCTGCCGTGCCCCAAGGGCACGTTCTCCTATTCCACGGGCAACGCGAATCTGACGGACTGCGCGCCGTGCACCGGCGGCTTTACGTGCCCCGAGAACGGCACCGTCGTCCCGTCGCCGTGCGCGGCGGGGACGTACTGCCCGGCGGGCACGACGAACGCGCCCGTCGTCTGCCCCGCGGGCCACTTCTGCGGCGACGCCGTCGCCGAGCCCGAGCCCTGCGCGGCGGGCACGTACCAGAGCGCGACCGGCGCGTCGAATTGCACCGAGTGCCCGCCGCGCCACTTCTGCGAGGTCGCGACCGCGACGCCCGCGGCGTGCCCCGCGGGCTCCTTCTGCCCGAACGGGACGGCCTTCGCCACGGAGCACCTCTGCCCGCGGGGCTCCTACGGCGCGTCGGCGGGCCTCGAGGCCGAGGCCGAGTGCGCGGCCTGCGACGGCGGCTCCTACTGCGAGACCGCGGGCCTCGCCGCGCCCACGGGCGAGTGCGACGCGGGCTTCTTCTGCGCGAGCGGCTCCAAGACGGCGACCCCGCGGACGAAGAACGACTACCTCCAGTACGAGAAGGCCTAGGGTGCGGGTTTATTAAGGGGGGTTGTCCGCACGTACTGCTGCAACATCGAGGCTACATCGGGTGCAAGCAACCAGTTCTGTGTCTTCGAGCATCTCCGCAATGGCTTGGAGATTGCTTTTGCTCCTGGCTGCCGCGACAAATGCGCAGTCGGCGAGCGTCGCGACGGATGCGCTGCCCCCGCCAGCTGCCCCAAACGCGCTGCTGCCGCCCTGCGCGCCGCTGCTCGCCGCCGCGCGGCGGATCCCCGTGCCGGCGGACGCCTTCTTCATGCCGGCGAACCTGTCCTACCTGAACGTGGGCTCGCTGGGCCCGACGCCGCGCGCGGCCGTCGACTGCGCCGTCGAACGGTGGAAGGAGCTCGAGGCGGACAAGGTGTCGCGCTACCCCTGGTCCGGCGGGCTGCCCGAGGCGACGCGCGCGCTCGCGGCGAGGTCGCTCGGGGCGAACGTGTCGCTCGACGAGGTCGCGCTCGTGCCGTCGACGACCGTGGGCCTCACGCTCGTCGCCGACGGCCTCGCGAGCGCGGGCTACTTCGCGCGGGACCGCTGGGGCGGCGCGGCGCCGCGCGTGCTCACGACGGACCAGGAGCACGGCGGCGGCGTCGCCGCGTGGCGCCATTACGTAACGACGGGCCTCCTCGGCGGCCTCGACGCCGTCGCGCTCGGCGCGCCGCCCGCGTCCGCGGCGGCCGTCGTCGCGGCCTTCGCCGCGGCCCTCGACGCCGGCCCGGCGTACGCCGTCGTCGCCGTGAGCCACGTGCTCACGACGACGGGCGCCGCGCTGCCGGTGCGGGAGCTCGCGGCCCTCGCCCACGAACGCGGCGCGCTCTTCGTCGTCGACGGCGCCCAGGCCGTCGGCAACCTCGACGTCGACGTCGAAAAGACGGGGGCCGACGCCTACGCGGTCTCGGCGCACAAGTGGCTCCTCGCGCCCACGGGCAGCGGCCTGCTCTACGTGCGCCGCGCCGCGCGGCCGATGATCGCGCCGACGTACCTCGACGAGGGCTTCTCCGCCTACACGCAGTGCACGGGCACGACGCCGCTCCAGACCATCGCGGGGCTCGGCTACGCGCTCGCGTTCGTCGACGCCCTCGGCGGCCAGGCGGCGCTGCGCGCGCACAACGCGGCGCTCTACGGTGTCACCTACGCGGCGCTCGCGAAGCTCCCGCGCGTCGCGATCCTGTCCGCGCCGCCGGGCTCGGGCCTCGACTCGGCCTTGCTGTCCTTCGCGCTCCCGGCCTGCGCGCCCCACGGCGCCGTCGCCGACGGCCTCGCCGCGCGGGGGATCGTCGTCAAGCTCCTGCCGGACGGCGAGGGCGGCACGCCCCTCGTGGCCAACGCGCTCCGCGTGTCGCACCACGTCTTCAACGCGGCGGCGGACATGGAGCGGTTCGCCGCGTCGCTCGCGGCCGAGGTCGACGCGCGTTGCGCGGGTCTTATCTAGCTTACTTCGCGCCGCGTCGTCTAGAGGCCCAGCAAACGGTTCTTGATCTCGTCGAACTCGCCGCTGGTCTTGCCGTTCGCGAGGACGACGACGCCGAGGTCGCACTTGTCGCCGACCGCGCACGGGATCGTCGCGCCCCCGCCGCAGACGCAGCAGCGCTCGTGGGCCTCGAAGTCGTCGTCGTCGTACTCGCCGCACCAGGCACGCTCGTACCCTTCACACCCGTAGCCGCCGGCGTCCGTCGCGCCGTCGTCGGCGTCCTCGCACCCCGCGCCCCTCCGGAACTGCATGACATTGTCGGTCTTGGTGCCCGCTTCGTCGCCGCCGTGCCCCCACCACCCGCGCTCGCCCTCCCACGTCCGGGCCGCCCAGATCAGCCCTCGTCCGCTGAGCATCTTTCCCGCCATGGCCGGGCTCAGGAGGCCGCCGCCGTCCTGGGACACCGCCGCGAGGAACGTCGCGAGGTCCCGGGCGGACGCGCGGAGCTGGCCGTCGGGGTAGTCGGGGAAGCCAAAGTGGCTGAGACCGACGAAGCGCCCCTCGTCCTCGTCGAGCCGGTGCGGCGCGGCGACGGCGCCTACGTCGTCGAAATCGTGGAGGAACCAGTGCGTGTTCGCCATGCCGAGGGACCCGAAGATCTCGCGCTCGCAGAAGGCGTCGAAGGCCTCGCCCGTCCAGGCCTCGACGAGCAGGCCGAGGAGCGCGGATCCGATGTTCGAGTACTGCTCCTTCTCGCCCGGCGCGGCGTCGTAGAAGTTCTCCTCGGCGTCGTAGCGCGAGCCGCCCGCGACGAGGTAGCTCCCGAGGAAGTCGCCGAGCGCGACGGGGCTGTCGGACCCCACGGAGCTGCCCCCGCCGCAGGTGCAGCACACGGCGGCGGCCGCGAAGTCGGCGTCGTCGTAGGCGCCGCAGATGTCGTCCGCCAAATACGGCGGGTACCCGTCCGAGCAGCCGAAGCCGCCCGCGTCCTCCGCGCCGTCGTCGGCGTCCGCGCACCCGAGCGTGCCGTCGTCGTAATGGACGAGGGCGGCCCTCATGACTTTCCAGTTGTCGCGGATGCCCGACGTGTGCGTGAGGAGGTGGCGGACCAGGATCTCGCCCCCCTGCGGGTGCGCGAGGTCGAAGCCGAGGTCGAGGTCCGCGCGCGCGTCGAGGTCGCGGCCCTGGGCCTCGGCGACGCGCAGGAGCGCGACGGCCGTCACGGTCTTGGAGACGCTCGCGAGGAGCGTCGGCGTGTCGGCCGTCATCGGCACGCGCCGCTCGACGTCCGCGTAGCCGACGCCCGTGGCGAACGTGACCGCGCCGCCCTCGACGACGGCGACCTGGAGGCCGGGCAGCTGGAGCTCCTCGAGCTGCTCGACGAGGAACGCGCGGAGCTCGTCGGCCGTCGGCGCGGCCGTCGGGTCGGGCGTCGGCTCGGGCGTGGGCTTGGGCGTCGGGTCGGGCGTGGGCGTGGGCGTGGGCTTGGGCTTCGGCGCGGCCGTCGTCGTCGTGGGCCGGGGCGTGGGCTTGGGCGTCGGGTCGGCCGTCGGCTTGGGCGTCGCCTCGTCGCCGCCGCCTTCGTTCCCGCCGCCCGTTTCCTTGCAGCCGCGCTTCTTCGACCACTTGCAACGGGGTCGCCGGCACTGCTTCTTCTTCCGGCCGGCGCAAGTCGCGACGCCGCTGTCCTGGCACCCGTTCTTTTTAGACCATTTGCACCCGACCTTCTTACATTTCTTCTTCTTCGTGTGCGATTCGCAGGCTGCGGCGACGACTCTGCCTCCGAACGCCACGGCGGAGACGGAGGCGATGATGAGCAGGACGGCGCGGCGATTCATTTTTACAATACGTCGGCGGGCCCTTGCTTGCTTTTGGTCTGTCACGTCGTCTCGAACGCCGAAATCGTTGCTGTCAATTGCGGTGTGGCTTCG